CGCCTTGGCAGTGTGGCCACTCGCCTGCATTGCTCATGTGATTGTACCCTGACATTGTGCAAGCCATATTTACTTCATACTGACAAGTTAAAGCAAAAGAAATTGTCTATTTCTACTTTAAAATGGTGGAAAGAAGGAGAGGACAATGAAAATGTAGATTTTTCGTAGACCGGGGAATTTTTTAAGGTTAGGACGCTATCCTGAACGGGGAATTGTTAACTAACCAATTCCATCCATGTTCCCAGTAATCAATAGTTTTTCTTCAGGCTCAACCACTAATCCAACAGTTCAGTTATCGGTGTCTGAATATTTATCGTCGTCTACATATAGCAGTTTCAAGGGCTGGATGGAAATTGGTGTCTTACAAACTTGTTACCAGTTTACAGTGTTGGTAGCAAATGGATGAATAGTAATATAGCTGATAAACTTACAAATGAACAAAGACTTAAAGGTCCAGTGTGTAGGATTCGGTGATGTCCAGCAGCTGAGGGTGCAGGTTGCTCCCGTGTAATGAGCGTGGCCGACGCAAAAACGTGAACGACCCTGTCAGAGCAGTGATTTGTCTGTTGTGGGCTACTGTAGAAACAACATGATGGACCTCATGGAAGAGGACCCGCTCAGTACGTAGATATAAACAGCTCATTCTAAGGTAATGAAAACAGTGATTCTGTGAATATTCTCCCTGAATCCTACACACTGGACATTTAATATGATTTTAGGTTTGGTCATCAGCAGTAATTAAAGAACCTGTATGTGGCCAGCTCTACCCCACAAGTGTTGTGATCTATTTTAGTTTATTTCATACTGCATCTATAGGACTCTGGTTAAAGTGCCGTTCACCCCAAAATCAGAAATGCATTTTTTTTGTCCTCTTACCTGTGGTGCTATTTATCAGTCTAGATTGCTTTGGTGTGAGTTGCACAGTGTTGGAGATATGTTCCAACACATGTTCACCGTTCCAAACTTCCTGCTGTTGAGAAAAGGTGATGAGAATGGAAGAAACGAGCAAGAAGTTTTCATTTACCTCTTGGGTGACCCCGCCAGAATGTTCTGGGAGCCTGTGAAGCTCAGTAACATCAAGTGGAACTTTGAAAAGTTTCTGGTGGGACAGGACGTGAAACCGGTGAAGTGTTGGCACCAATGTTTTAATGTTTCAGAGGTCAAAGCTGACATTCGCAGATACCTCCTCCAGCAGTACACACGAGATCTTTAATTCGATCTCTGACTCATCATACTGTATTGTTGATCTGATGACATAGTCGCAATAAGATACACAGGATAAGTAGTGCTAATGGAGACTGTAAGAGTGAGGCACTAGATGGCGCTCAGCTTGTGGAGCTCAAAGCACCAAAAAAATCCATTTGTAATACTCAACATCAATGTCTCTTTCCAGAAATCATGACCCAGTTACTCAAGATAATCCACAGACCTTGTGAGCAGTCTCATGTAGGAACTATTTTCTTTCTACCGAACCACACCCACCAACTGGATCACTGCACAGAAGGAAGTGTGCATCAACTGCTAGCTCACCTCACGAGCATGAGCCTCTCGTTCATGAGTACATGCAAGCGTCCTTCTGTGTGGTGATGCGGTTGGTGGGTGTAGTTTGGTAGAAAGAAAATAGTTCCTGCATGAAACTGCTCACAACGAGGTCTGTGGATTATCTTGAGTAACCGGGTCATGATTTCTGGAAAGAGACATTGTTGTTGAGTTTTTCAGATGTATTTTTTTGGCTCTTTGAACACCACAAGCTGAGTGCCATCTAGTTCCAGTTTAATGGAGAACAGGCAGACATCTCTTCGGCCGATATCTTCAACACTCTGCAACTCACACTAAAACAGTCTTGACTGATAAACAGCACTACGGGCAAGAAGAAAAATATGCAATTTTTATTTGGGAGTGAACCGTCCCTTTAATATTGTTTAAATTGCTCATTTTCTTCCAAGTGTTTGTATTATTATGTTGTATTGTTTTTGTACACGAATATCTTTTCTACTTTATTTACCCTCATTATTTTGTTAGAGATCGTTACAGATTATGGAAGTGTTTATGTAACGACTCATGTCATAGTATTTAAATGCTGAGCTTTTAACATGTAAGGTGTAATAATTATCTTTAATGGTGCACCAATAAACAACATGGAGCATAATCTAAAATACACAATCTAACAATTCAATTAGTGTCATTTGTGTTGGTCATAGGTGCACCTTCTGGAGGGAAGCATCACCCATAAACTTTATTTTCTTACATTTTTATGGAGCGGATGTCTGGCAGGTGTCAGTTTTATGTGCCGCCTTTCTTCTTATGACTTTCCCCTCGAGCTGATGAATAATAAGTGTTACAGAAAGAGAAAGTCGTGTGATGATCACCCGAGGTCATTTTCATGTAAAATATTGTTGACATCTAAGCGTGCATTTTGTCTGGAAGAAAAAAAAACCCACAAAACTAATCCTCTGTGATGGGTGTGTGTGTGTGTGTGTGTGTGTGTGTGTGTGTGTGACACTGACAAAGCCTTTAGGGACAAAAACATTTTTCCTTTTATATGTTTGTTTATTGTTTTTCAATAAATACTCATTAAAGTGCAAATCATAACAGCAATATCATGCAGTGCATAACAAGAGAAATCCAAACCCCAATCAGACAGAGACAGGGAGAGACAGTTGAAACACACTGTCACATTCTTACACACGCACGCGGAAACACACCCTTACACACATTCTTTCACAATTACCAGTGTGCACACACACACACATACATACACACACACACACACACACACTGGGGTATTTAAGGTTACACTAATCATAAGAACCCCTCCACAGATGAACACCCTTGCTGTTGCAAATACTCACTTTGGTACAACACGTTAAAGTCTGTATTTGATTAGGCCCCCGGCATGTTTCCCAGCTCTAAACACAAATTAGAGTTTACATGACTAACATGCCACTGGTAGGTGCATACAGGTGTAATGGTACAGTACTACATCTGACAGTAAATACTGGTTATATTGGGAGTTTTTAAATACAACCCATGACCTCTCCCAGACAGTGTGCTCCATTGATCGACGTGTCATACTGTTGTTACGAGCAGCAGAATCAGGGATGGATGCACAGTGGGCCAGATGTGATCCTGATGTGACCAACACAGCTCACTATCCAGAGGACAGGTCATTTAAGACACAGCAACAGAGTGTAATATAGAGGTTTGACTGAAGAACAGAGATAAGTGTTTACAGGACTGCGTGTGCAGTGGCATGTGTCTCGCGCCAGGAAGCACAATTTCTCCCTGACGTCAAGGTATATTCAGTCAGTGGTGTATGTGGCATCACAGACAGCGAAGGCAACCCGACACAAGACACGCTAACAGAACATACATGTAATAAAGGGTTTCAGCAGAGTAACAAAGAATGTGGCTTTCACTGTTTCAACCAGAAGCCTTCACAATTCTCTTATAAGGCAAAAACTACTGACTCAATGCAGACGATGACTCACAACAAGTAGAGAACCAAACTACGTCAAATTATTGTAGGTCCAACAAAGTACTAGGTTAACACTAACTAACTGAACACTCATAGTTGAGAGCGATGTGTGCAAACCTCCAACATGGCCAAATTCTCCCCAATATTCTGAAATATTATCCTATTATTCTTACGTTATACTAACTATATAAAACGAAAAATAACATGACATTTTTCATTTTGCCCTTTTGCCAATCACTTGCCCCAAACCTGTGAAAATAACGAGAATGAACACAATGAATTGGCCATTTTGGGGTTTCCTATTCATGACATCAGTGTAAAGCAGAGTTCGTCTATCCCTCCAACCTGTTTTATCAAAAACAGTAGAAAGGCAACAGTCCAGCGCTCTCCATCAAAACAACGCTGCTTTAAAAACCAAGAACAAACCCAGAGAGAGACGGACAGGAGGATCTGCAACTGCAACTAACAGTTATTTTTATTGTCGATCAATCTGTACATTATCAATTAGTTGTTTGTTCGGTCTATAAAATGTCAGAAAATGGTGAAAAATGTCCATCAGTGTTTCCCTAAGGCCATAATGATGTGTTTAAATGTCTTGTTTTATCCACAACCAAAAGATATTCAGTTTACTGTCATAAAGGAGTGAATACACCAGAAAGTATTCACATTTTAGAGCTGGAATCGGTCAGTTTTGTCTTTTATTTTGTTGTCTTTTTCCTCAAAAAATACTCTAACCAATGAATCAATTATTAAAGGGGCAATAAGCGAAATCGTTTCACCACTAGGTTCGCTGTTGTGCACTGCCTGTAGAGCAAAACCAAGTGTGTCATGAGCCACTCCTCCCTCTACCTCTGCTCTCCAACACCCCCCCCCCCCCCCACTCGCCTCGTCTGTGCCGGCGAGTACCGCAGCATCTCCACGAACTATCACATCCAGACGGTCCCGGTGTTTCTTCCGCAGGCTCTGCTTCACTCAGCTGCCCGATAAACCTGCTGCTTCTTCCCACATTAACCTGAATAACAAACCAGGGCTCAGTGCTCCGGTTGGATCCAAACGGAGAGCCACTAGCTGGGAAGCTAGTGGAGGCTAACTGGCTGTTTTGGCAGCTGAGTGAAGTGGAGTATGAGGAGGAAGCCCCGGTTTCACTACAGGCAGATTCACTCGCCACAGGGGCGAGGAAATAAAACCTAAACAGCCAACTTAGTTTGGCTTAGTTTAGCAGTTAGCGATGTCTTTCACTCACTCTCGGTCTCTGCTGTGTTTAGCTATTTCCATGCTTTCCTGTTAGCGTTAGCACTAGTCGGCTGCCACGCTAACGCTCCAACTCCAACTGAGCCGGGCTCACGGAGAAGAGTTGGAACAACGCTTCTCCGCCAGGCTCAGTGAGTCGGAGCCGAGAAGCGTGGGGACGTTAGCGTTAGCACTAGTCAGCTGCCATGCTAACGTTCAGGATTCACATGAACGTACATGAACGCGCAGCCGGACCGGCTTGTAAACAATGGGCTGGAGATCAATACAGAGAGAGGGTGTGTGAGGTCATGCTATACTCCAGATCAAATTACACCTCTAGTTCTTCACATAGCAATTTTTTAATTCCTTCAATCTAGAAATGATGAATTTCGCTTATCGCTCCTTTAAATGAGTCAGTGATTAATTTAATGGTTGACAATTGATCAGTTAATCATAGCTACACTGCAGCACCAGCTTTCACTTTTCACTTTCACACTGATTTTGAAAAAATATTCCATGACAACACAACACAAAACTCAGCTATGGTCTGATCTCACAGGACAATGCTCAACATTTACATAAGAAATAACACCATTGAAACAAAGGAGCAGAAACAACAGATACAGTGAAGTTTAGTGTGAGGCAATAAAACAGTAAATCCACACGAGTTTTAAAATGCAGACTGAACAGACGATGACGAAACACAAACACCAAACACCATGTCCCTTTGTCACTTTCTACCAACTGACCAATCTCCCAAAGCACTGCAGAGATGCTCCGAACAAAGTCAGTGAGAAAAACATGACGATCGTGTGACACATTCTACCCATCTCCACTACACACACTGGCTCATACACACACTCTCCATAAACATATGCACAGTTACTGTGTTGCATTCTTTAAGGCAACTGGAGAAAGGTTTCTGTGGCTTATACTGTCCTGCAGCAGATACACACCACCTCGCATGGATTTGTCATTTGATTTCTCATTGATTATCATCATCACCTCATTATCTGTTCACATACACAGACTCAGGGCTAATGAAGTTTAACTCTGCTAATATGATTGGTAGCAATTTTGAAAATTGATCGACTATTGGAGCAATTTATCAAGTAAATATTAACATATGCTCTGATTCAAGACCTCAGATTAGGCTCTAAATTCTGATGCACATTTTCTCATTTTAAAAGGCTTAAAGGAACAGCGTGTAAGATTCAGGGGGATTTAGCAGTGAGGATTACCCACTGAAACCAGCTGAAACAATCCCAGTTACAATTCCTTCACTTTTGGCTGTTCAGGTGGCTGAATTATCTGCAGAGGTCTCTTCCTCTCTAAAACAAACAGACTTGGTGATTAAAAACACTAAACAAAGCAGTTTCTCCTACGCTGTTTGGCACATTGCAGCTGTGCCTACTAATATCTGCTTACCTGTTGATCTGATAACTGAAGATCCAGGAGTTCAGGTTTTTACCAGGAGCTAAATTAACCATAGAGGTCTCTTCCTCTCCAAAACAAATGGACCTGGTGATTTAAACCAGTTACATCACTGAATAATGCAGTTTTACATTTACAAAAATGTATTTTTCTGACATGCTTATCGGGGAGAGGCTGCTAACTATGGTGGCTGATGCGAAAACGTGAACGGCCCTGTCTGGCGCTAGTGTTTGGTTTGTCCATTTTGCGCTACTGTAGAAACTTTGCCATCTCCTTAGACGAGGACATGCACCCTATGTAGATATAGACGTCTCATTCTAAGGTAACAAAAACACGACAACTCTTATTTTAAGGTGATTATACACTAAAGAAAATGATGACCCCCCCTAAATCCTGCACACTGGACCTTTAAGTCAAAAAAAAAAAGAAGATAGTTAATAATTGTAGCCCTAAAAATTGCTACACTTTTCATTACAAACAGCACATGGCGTCTGTCTTTTTCAGCTTACTGCATATGTGACTGCCTGCCATGTCTGTCCTCCTGATATCTCTGGCCTGCTCGCGCTTTTTAAATTACATTCTGTGCATGCATGGCTGAGCAGCATATTAGCAGTTGCTCAACTTGTCATTTGTTAAGGGCTAAACTGAAGTGTAGAGGAGTCTGTGTGTGTGTTGTTGCATATTTATGACAGTTACTGAATGTATAAAATGATGGTTGTGTGGGGAAAGAAACAGCAGATGTACGGTATGAACGGCATCTTTGAAAAACACAGAGACCGACCATAGCTGTGCGAGAAGTGACCATAGCTGTGCGAGAAGTCAGGTAATACGGTGGCTGTGAAAACTCATGTTAGATGGTGTGTATCTGTGCTTCATCACTAAATGCAGGACACAGTCGGCACCATGCAGAGTATTATCGCCCGACTATCCCGCTGCCTCTCTAGGTTCATTAATCTTCTACAATCTATTCAAAATCAGGATAAAACTCTACGTCGATGCAGTGCTTAAATAATATAACTACAGCGCCTAAAAAACAATCTCTCAAAAATAAATATGGATCTGATATCTAAATAATAATCATCTTCTTTATGGAGTATAAAGTCTGTTATTTGGTATACCCTTGTCAACCTTTTCAGCTATGTAATATAAATATAATATACATGGATAACAAAAGTTTCTTTACAAACCATAGAATATAAAACCTGAAAATAAATTTTACATGTGCTAACGTTCCCTCAGACACAGATTTTATGTCAATTTTAACAACCTTCATCAAAATATAAGACGAGAAGCAAAACTGACCTCCGATCAGTGTTTGGGGAAAACTCAGCAGGCTTTCCCGCCATTTAGTGTTATGGTAGGCGATGACGTTTCAGCAGTTGATATAGATTGAAGGTATTTGTGGGAGGAGTGACAGTGGACTTGACCTTTCCTGACTCCGACACGACTGCGTGCTGTGACCTATTGCCTATGGCCTTCAATATGTCACAGATTCCAGTCCCAGGATCAGTTGTCATAAGCTGTGGCTGCATGTTTAAACTCTGAGACTCTGATCCAAGGACTGTGTCAAAATACGAAAAGAAAAAAAAAAAAGCTATTAATCTGCCTCTCTGAGAAAGGATTCCTCTCTGTGTCTCCCTAATCTGAAGTGACAGGCTTTGCTTTTTACACTTCCATTCACCCTTCCAGGCCAATACAACTGGAACGGAGATGGAGAGGAGACAGAGAGAGGAAGTCACTCCTAACATCTACACTCCCCTACGTCCCGGATCAGCAATTGGCTTAAAAACCCCACTGACATCGAGGTTACAGCGAGGTTAGGAGTGGATGCATCTCAGCGTGCCAGCGTAGTGATGAGACTGGCACACATTTCAAAGAAGTCCATGGTGTGTGATCCCTGACGGGGGGTGAGTAGAGGGTTGCTACCAGACAGGGACCCCGGGAGAGAGGAGCTGAGCTGGGGCAGATCAATCGCGGGGCTCACTGAGTCGATGCTCAGTCTGGGTCTGTGTAGTCCAGCTGTAGAGCCTGATCTCTGAGGAGTGGACGAGCCCGATTTAAAGCCAACTGCCTCGATGATGTCATCTGGGGGTCACATGAGCAGAGGATAGTAGTGTCAGCATTTAACAGAGGAGCAGTTCATGACGTGAATGTAGGCTAATTACTGTATGAGAATCATGCCATAACCAAAATAAATTTGAATTATGTGTTTGAGTTTTTATCTAGTCTTTCCCCACATGCACTTATAAATCCATCTACTGAATTCGGCATCAATTCTAACCAGTTACAGTTATGTTAAAGCTGGAGTGTGGGACGTTTGCAAATGAATGAACCAAACAAGTTCACACAGTGCTGATTGAGATGATCACCGCCAGGGAAAGCTCTCTGTATCTCGCATTATACCAGAGTTGTTGTGTCTGTGGTCACTTTCTCGCACCGGTGCACTGGAAATTATGCAATTTTCGTCAATTAACCAGAACTCAAGGGAGCAGGAAGTGGGAAGAGAGCATAGCAACAGAGCAGCAGATAGGAGTATGGGGGGAAAATCCTAAGAAGCATCCAAGAAAGGTTTCTGGAGTGGATGCTCCAGATAAAAAAGAAACCTGCCATTTAGAGAAAGGATTAAAGACAGACTTTGAGAGAGCACTCCTGGGGGCGGAGGAGATGGGGCGAGATCACCTGCAGGCATATGTCATGAGTGTAATTACTCTCACTGCCAGAGGGTGGAGACAAAAGCTCCACACTTTAGCTTTAATATAAATTCAAGTAAATTAAATGCAGAAAATTATTTTTTTAAAAAGCAGGGCCATGTGTGCCATCTGTACTTCTGAGCACTGACATCATGTAACTTCAAATCTGTGTGATAAAGACAAACAGTTGCACGTAGAAAAGCACATGGCTATGTACAGTACATGTGTATTTAAAAATATATTTAAATCAATGTCAAATCTGAAATTGTGGGTAAAAGACACAACTAAATACACATGAAAGATATGAAGTGACTGATGCACTTGCATTTCAAAGAGGTGACCTGTACAGGCTCAAATGCATTTATGCTGGGACAAGTGCCCAAAGTGCACTCTGCTGCCTGATTTGCATCAACACCACCTCAGCTGTTCCAACTCCAACAACTCAAGATTTTGGAGCCACGAAACAGGGACAGACAACTGAACTGCAGGTGAAGCCATGTACAATGTAAATCAAAACAGTTTGGGATATCACCAACCATCGATGCTCTTGAAGTCGAGGAGGTAGGATCTGTTGTCCACCTGATACAGCTGCAGGCTCATTTTCACCAGGTTTCCCGTCACTGGATTCTTCCTCCGCACTCGCAGGTGGTACGGGTTCACCACCTACAGCACAGAATAACAGACTGTCTCGTTCGTACGTAGACCTTTGTACTTTCTGTATTTATACGTGTAAGACATATCCATTACCTTCCAGTCGAAGCTGAGTTGTCTCATGGCCCTGTACACTTCAGCCATGATGTCATAGGGTCTGCTCTGGCTCCTGATACCGAGGTGCCACTTGGCCTTCTTCACTGCTAGCGGTTTGGGCCGAGTGGTGTTGAGAGCATCCAGAGGACAACGAGACTTGGGGCTGTCAGCCAGCAGCGGAGGCATCCTCTCTGGGTGGGGTTTGATCCCGGGGGGCAGCGGCATGCCCTCTTCTATGAAGGAGCCCTGGGGAGGACTGGAGGCCAAGTAGAACTCGCTGGCCTGGGTCATGATGCGCCGGTTGTCTATTATGAGGTGGTAAGCTACTGCTAGCTGATCCTGCATGAACAGAGGGAGGATGGAGAGTCAGTTGAAGACCACTGAGATAACAAGTTAAAGCTAAGGACAGACCTTGAGATTACTGAAACCTACAACGACTCCACTCATGAATGAGTCTTGTGTACCTGTGGGTCCCCGCTGTAAAGGCTGGACACAACCTCAGACTCAGTGCATTCAAACTTCTCGCACACTTCCCTGACAGCCTCTTCATCCAGGACTGTAGCATCATACGAGGGGTCCTCGGGGAACAGGTAGCCTGGCAGGTCCTGCTTAAACCACTCATGTTCCCTGACAGAGGAGAGGATAACCACTCAAAATCATCACTCTTAACTACAAACACAAACCTATATCGAGTGAGGTTGGTAATTAATGCCAAAGTGAACAGAGTAGTGTGAGCACCTGATGTCTTTGATGGTGGCTCTCTTCAGAGGATCCACCTGCAGCATGAGCATGAGCAGCGAGGCCACAGAGCGAGTCAGGTACTCGGGGATGTAGAAGACGCCTCCTCTGATCTTCTTGAACAGCGTGGGGACGTGCTCATCGTCAAAGGGCAGAGTGCCGCAAAGCAGGGCGTACAGGATCACGCCGCAGCTCCAGATGTCCACCTCTGGGCCTGCATAGAGTCTGACAGAGTGATGAGAAGATGTGACATGTAACAAAGAAGAAGATCCATAAACAATGTGTCACTCTTGTGGGTCCACTGGAAAAGCAGGTAACACTTTCTTAACTTTTAAGTGCTATCATATAGCTTTAATATATAAATACTAGGGGTGTAAGGGTTCACTAAATCCACTGTTCAGTTCGATACGATGCAGTGATGTCACGGTTTGGTACGTTTTTGTTACAGCAAAAAAGCAGAAATTTACTTAGTTTCTTTAAAAACTATCATCATAAAGTCTGATGTTTTTTTACTCTGAACCATGACGGAGCTACACCTGAGTGACCCGTCCTCTGGGGTGTCTTCTCAGCAGCATATGAAACAAAAAAGCTCCTTAAAAATATTAAATGTCATACAGTAGTTATAAACAAATATGAACAAATAAACAGTTCTGTTTCTGAAACGAAAGGGAAAAAATAATATCCTTGTTTTCTTTTGTTTAATTTAAATGTATAAAAACTAAAATCATAATGCTGCAGGGATACATTAGCATGTAGTGTTTGTGTTGCCCCCTTGTTTTTGGCACACTGGTGAAGTCGGCATAAATGAGTTGACATGTTTGAAGTATTCTGCACTGATGTAACCTACTGTCATGTGGCTCCCAGCGCCAGACCTGTAGGTTATCAGGGAAACTTTTTTTCTGGTCTGGAGGGGCAGAAAGCAAATTGCCTGTCGCCATGTCGTTTGGGCTGCCTTGTTGAGTGCAGTGGCGCTGAGAACATTATGTTTCACACAAACATAGCTGTACATTTTATTTTTAAATTATAACAGGATTAGTTTGAAGAATTGTTCGGTTTGTAATATGTCCTGAACCAAAAGCCTCATTCCGACTGGTTCAATACAAATACTGTATTGTTGCACCCTCAAAGGCGCTGTATGTAAGAATGTGGCCACAACAGTTACTGCACTCAAATTCAAAATACTGCCGCGAGTCATGTCCGCCCCTCCTCCCGTACAGATTCGAGGTAGATTCACTGGAGACTGATTTGTTTGCCCACGGGCGGCTGCCGTGGCAGGGCCGCGTTGCCGCGTCCTTGATCTTTGGTTTTCCAGCAGACCGTTGGAGCAAGTCTGGCTTCTCTGCTGCTAACGCTGCTGCCGGGATACAGCTGAGGAGGAGCCGGCTGCTAATGCTATGTACCGTGACACTGCTAATGCTGCTTGCCGTGCTGCTGTAGGTCAGTCGTAACTGTAACTGTAACTGATGCTGAGACTCTACTGACTGTGTGACTGATAGACGGCGGTGGGTGGCGCAACAGGCCAAAACACAAATTCAAAACATAAACATGATTTGCAGACAGCAAAAAAAATTTTTAAATGTGAATATTCTGGCTGTACTATTGTTGTCGGTGAGATCAGTATGTTATATCAACATTATTCCTTAGTCTCTGTGACATATAGGAGGATTTTACGACTATTTGCTTTAGATTTCTTACATATATCTCCTTTAATAAATACAGATTTTGTTTAAGTGTCATTTGTAGCTTTTGTGAAGACAAAATGCACACCCATGGGCGACGCAATTGGTTGTTTAGTGTTTCCACTACTTTACAGGTGCCGGTAGTGCGCTAAGAAATGCAGCAATGCATCACCAAAGGCAGTGAAGAAGAAAATTCCAGGCGAGTAATCCACGATTTAAAATTTACTTTGCAACTGTTTATGAGGAAGTACATGCATTTTAACATATTTGTTAAACCATACGCATACACAAGGTGCGCTTGGGTGTGGAACAGTGAATGTAAACAGCTTTTTTGTTTGTTTACGAGAGATCTCCACAGGGCAACTAAGAGTTGTTTTCTGTCAGGTTGGACTTCAGGCAGTGTTTAAGGCTACATTCACACTAATACGTTTTTGTTTTAAAACAAATAACTACTGCTACGTTTAAGCCGAGCTTCCACACTGCTGCGGCACTTTGGAGCTTTTGCAACAGAGACCTTTAAAAACTCTGCTGAAACAGTTTTAGTTGGAAAAAAGCCTGTTGCATTTCAGTCTGGATGAGCGGTCACAGTGACCAATAAAAACAATGACATGCGATGACCATGTTCGCATCCCAGTTGGGTCTTATCAGTCAGGATGTGTTGAGCCAAAACATTACAGCTAGGTCTACATAACCTTTTATGATGTGGGTACTCCTTTCCTATTGTCATGTGTGTTACTGTGGATAGAGGCGGTGCTAAAACCCTTGTGTTTATGTTTTAAAACACTGTTTTAGTCCTAAACTACATTGTTCCTAAAGCCATATAAATAATGCCGATTAAGTAACTGTCCTCCAGACGTGAATAATTGTGATTAATCTTATAGCCGTGATCGTACATGTGATGTGATCACACACCTTCCTGAGATGACCTCTGGAGCAGCATAGTTGGGCGAGCCACAGCTTGTCCGTAGGAACTCCCCATCTGACATCATGTTTGACAACCCTGTTGATAAATGCAAGACATCCTTCAGTCTTCACTCTGACAGTGACACAGTTTAACAAAACGATCCTCTGTTATTATATTACTGCTATTGATCCTATGGTTTAATTGCACATGGCCCACCACAGAGAGGGTGAGTTATACACTGTGGACGTCGCAGATATCTCTATCCTTATTTACCCACCAAGACTCTAAGCTCTAAACACAAAGCTCATCTAATTGGATGAGCTTCTCCCAGCCTGCCTGGGCCGAACGCTAAACACCACATGCTCTGCGATGTGCTGACCTTCCCTTTATCTTTTATCCCTGTTCCTTTAAGACTCTTTCACTGCTCATTGGTGTTTGTTGCTCTCAGCCAAAACACTCCTGCTGCTGCACAACCCTGACGCACCCCCACGATTCCTTCCCTATCAGATGACACTGGGCCTCAAGGCTTCCTGCCAGACATGATATGAAACCTGGCCGTTGCTAGGGGGACCTCTCTCCACCCCACACACCCTGCTGTGCACAAGGGTCTTTGTGTGTTTGTGAGAATATTTCTCTTTTTCGTGTTCGTATTGCATCAGGCACAGTCTCCAATCAGCTGGAACAATTATGCCCCAACTGTTAAGAAACTGTGCTCAGTGAGAGATGTATTTAATAAAGAGGGCAACAGGTGCATGACAGTGATTTCACACTTTTCTTTAAGTGTATAATTAAGAGTCTAATTACGCTTTGTACTATGACTCTGCAACAAATGTTGCCTCTAATCAACAATTCAAATTACTTGGCAATTCCACTCAGCTCTGCCACAAACTCTGCCTCTCTGTCTTTCTCATTCCCTCTGTGAACATTTTCTGTTGTGCTTTCTCTTTTCTTAAATTCCCTAACAATCCTTCAGCCTCTCCCTCTTCCTGTAACTCTGTTGTCTGGGATCTTACCAAAGTCAGCTATCTTGGCGTTCTTGCTGGCATCCAGCAGGACGTTCTCAGGTTTGAGGTCTCTGTGGACCACCATGTGCCTGTGGCAGTAGTCCACAGCTGAGATAATCTGCTGGAAAAGGCGGCGGGCTTCAGTGTCCTCCACCTGAAACACACAATATAAACAGACATGATTAGACTGTGGCTGCTCTGAGTGTTTCTATGATTGTGTGGAAGGATAAAGAAGTTATGTGGTGTCTTGTTTAGAACAAATGTATCATGTTCTGTGTTGGGTTGGTGTGGCTCAGGACCCAGGTGAAGCTCAAGTAGGATTATTCTATTAAAAATAAAGACCCCAGTCCCCAGAGGAGGTCATCTCTACATAGCTGTCGGTAACAGCTCAATGTTTTGAACATGGAAGTGAACATTTAAAGGTGTGTAAATGGGGCATTAAAATTATCACTGACGACTCTCAGTTAGAAAGGTCAAGCAGTGATGGTGTGTGGAAACACTGTTGCCCAACAAACTTTCATGTCTCATTATCATATCAAATAGAAATTTCCAACAGTACTTAAAGCAGGAAAGGCAAATATTTTGGCATACAACACATGCATGTGATGGGATAGTTGCAGTTTCAACACTGTGCATACAGACAGTATTTGTTATGTCTCTACAGAGTAAGAATAAATCCAGAAAGTTTTGAAAAGAAAGAAAATGCTCATGCAACTTATGTTAAATAAAATTATTTTAGGGTCTAGGGTCTAACAGCAGGGTCTATTTGGTCACAACAACAACTGTATTAGTATTTAATTAAAGGGGCAGTTCACCCCAAATCAGAAATACATATTTGTCCTTTTACCTATAGCGCTATTTATCAATCTAGATTGTTTTGGTCTGTAATTTAGTGTTGGAGATATCAGCCATTGAGATGTCTGCCTTTCTTTAATATAATGGAGTTGGATGATACTCGGCTTGTGGTGCTCAAAGCGCCAAAAATATACAAAACTGCACAGAAGGAGGCATGCATCTACTCATGGACAAGAGGCTCGTGCTTATGAAAGCGCAAGCTGTAAACATTAATGGCGTCCTCCTCGGCTGAGCTGTAACGTTCTCAGGGTCAGTGGTAGGGATGCACCGAAATGAAAATTTGTGGCCGAAGCCGAATAAAATTAAACGCTTGGCCCAATACCGAGTACCGAATGCCGTTTTTTAGTTTTTCCTTAGTTTTTGCAGATGAACCCCCTCCAGATTAGTGTTGTCACGGTACCAAAATTGGGACCCACGGTACGATACCAGTGAAAATATCATGGTTCTGAGTAGTATCACGATACCACAGCAAAAATGAGGCAGTTGTGCCTTTTGTCATTTATAAAAAAATAAATGACTTTTCTATAATACATCAATGATATTTCAATGGAATAAATTACTTATTGACTTATTCATACTTCAAAAACAGCATCAATAAGTGATTAACATAGGGGGGATCAAAATAAAATAAATAAATAAATAAAATTAAAATCAACCAGCCACCCTCCTCCCCTGACAAATCCCTTCATAAGTAATGAACAGTTCCTACAGTGCGGTGAGGTTTGTGGACCGTTACCTGCCACAAAGAGTAATGTGAACGGCTCGTTTCTCCTCTGACACGCCACATACTGTGTGCCGCCATGGCTCGGCTGTTCAGGTACTTTTGGGCAGTCATGACAACGAGTTATTCACCTGGAGCCGGACTTCTCCGTCGCCTGTAAGCCGTTATCATGCATGGCCGTATTTGACAGGAATATGTATTCCTGTCTGTGTCTGTGACCCCCGTTCAATCCACAACCGGCGGGATTCGCCGTTTCGTTTCTGCTGCTGGTTGAAATCTGTACTCACACAGCGTGCTGAATGATTTATTTTGCTTGCACAAAACTATTTTTAGTCGCAAATGCGAGTGCGGTGACGGACGGAGTAAAATACCGCCACACTGCCGACATTTTACTCCGTCCGTCACCGCACGCTGTTTGATTGCGTTATCAAAACACGCCGCTATTATTCGGCCTTGCTTTTCACTTATTCCACCGAATACCGAATGTGTGTTTTTTTGCAATATTCGGCCAAATATATTCGGTTACCGAATATTCGGTGCATCCCTAGTCAGTGGTGCCATCTAGTTCCTAGACAGTTCTAGTTCTAGACACCTCTACGGCCAATATCTATAAGTCACTCACCACCTCAGACACTGCTTAGCAATGCAAATACTGACTATGAGGTTAATAATACTAGTCATATAATAGATGAAATGTCTTACCCGTCCATGTTTGCAGATGTAGTCAAACAGCTCACCTCCAGACACATACTCCATGACCATGAAGAAATCTGTTGGTGTACTTATCACCTGGTACCTGAAACACAAACATGTCTGTATTCACATGAACTTGCTGGACATTAATTAACTCTCTTACATTATGTCCCTAAATGTTAATATAACTGTAAACATACCAAAAGGCTTTTGTCTCAATCTCTAAAATAAATGTATTTACTTCAAAACTGCACAGAACTAATATACAGAAACACACACACAGATAGGTGAGGCCACGCTGTGATGTATGGCTGCTGAGTGTAGGCATTACTTTCCTAAAGGTCAGGTATATTAAGATGCAGGCCCAGTCTCATGAATGGTTGCTCTTGTGAGATTCTGTGCTTCATCACAATCTACTATATTCCTGTCAAGTCGGGTGTTGCACAACACGGCCGGCACCGTGGGAGAAATAAACACCAACCAAATCACACATACAGATTCTGCGAAATCTTAACAGTGAGAGCACTTGAGGGAAATGTTAGGACATTTATTCTAATTCATTTCAGTTCATGCTGGTTTTACAAACGCTGCAGATGTATCCAGAGTCTGCTCTGCTCTGTCCACAGTCCTGCAACAGTGCAAACAGGATGTGTATGTGCCTAAAATATATGCATGTTTCTGAATGTATATGGCTGTGACAGAGTGTTCAACAGCACTTGAGCTTCTGACCTAAGAGCTCACATATCTGCCATAGCTTACAGTGCGACAGTGGACTAACCCTAACCTAAAAATAACACAGAGATTGTTGAGAGAGACATGGACTGACAAGGAGAAGGAGAAAGATGGGACACAAGGTCAGATAAATAACCCATGACAAGCTAAGATACCTGAATGAGGACAAGAATTTAGTCATGCAGGAACTACAGCGACTTCTATCATCTTATCTGGATATTTGAACGAACCAGAAGTGTGTGTGCATTGCTATGTTTGTGTGCTCCACCTCCTGGGAGCCCTGTGGGCATGCTCAGTACAGTGCAGCTGTAGCTGTAGTAAACAAACAGGAACACACTAAGCATGCCACAACACAGAGGGAACACAACATAGCAAAATACCCACATTACAACAGCCACTTATTTAACAGAGCTCAGTTCTCTCCCTGTGTCGGCGCTCAGAGTCTTAAAGTCTGATAGAAGGATGTGTCGTCTTTCTCTACTTACAGCTTGATAATGTGTGGGTGTCTGAACAGTTTGAGATTCTGGATCTCTCGTTTGATCTTCCCAACGACATCGAGACTGCGGATCTTCTGTCTGTTTAGGATCTTTACAGCCACTTTATGGCCCGTCAACTGATGCTCGCCAACTGGAAACAAAAGAATACAGATATGAAGCACATACAGCACACAGATGGTAAAACCACAGAGCAGCTCATCATAAACAAGACAGTTAAGCACAATATGGAAGAACAAAGAGAGGCAGAGGCACTAATGGGTTACGTTTTAATTTAGAGAATTGCTACACAGTAGGGCTGCAACTATTATTTTCATTATGGATTAACCTGCCAATTATTTTTACTACATGTCAACAACATGTCATGAAACTGTAAAAAATGCTCATCACAAATTCCCAAAGTGACGTCTCTAAAGTGCTTCTTTTGTCCAAGCAACAGTCTAAAACCCAAAGACTCTTCATTTATGATCATAAATGACAAAGAAAAGCAGCAAATGTTTGACATTTTTGCTTGGAAAATGTCTCCAACAATCAACTGATAATTAAAATAGTTGGTGATTAATTGTCTTTCGGACCACTAAGTGACTGATCAACTAATTGTTGCAGCTCTATTGCACAGCAGACTTCAACAGAGCAGTACATTTTTATTCTAATGTAGTTTTAAGTCTTAATTTAGAAAGTTGTTTTACAGTAGGGCTGCAACTATTATTTTCATTATCGACTAATCTGCCAATTATTTTTTACTATTAATCGCTTAACTGATAAAATGTCATGAAATTGTAAAAAATGCTCATCACAATTTCCAAAAGCCCAAAATGATGTCTTTTTGTCCAAGCAACAGTCCAAAACCCAAAGACTCTTCGGTTAATATCATATATGACAAAGAAAATCAGCAAATAATCAAATTTAAGACGCTTGAACTGGAAATTGTTTAACATTTCTGCTTGAAAAATGACTGCAACGATCAATCAGTCATTAAAATAGTTGGCCATAAATCATCTTTCGATCAACTAACTGATAAATTGCAGCTCTATTGCACAGCAGACTTCAACAGAACAGTATTTTTTATTATGATGCAGTTTTAAGATTTAATTTAGAAAGCTGCTGCACAGTAGGGCTGCGACTATTATTTTCATTATTGACTAATCTGCCGGTTATTTTCACATTCAATCGCTCAATCTATAAAACGTCAATTAACTGTGAAAATTGCTCGTGACAATTTCCCAGAGCCCCAAGTGACGTCTCCAAAGTGTCCAAGCAACAGTCCAAAACCCAAAGACTCTTCATGTACTATCATAAATGAAAAGAAAAGCTGCAAATTCTCAAATATAATAAACTTGAACCAGCAAATGTTTGACATTTCTGCATGAAAAATGATTGCAATGATCAATCAGTCATTAAAATAGTTGCCAATAAATCATCTTTCAATCAACTAAGTGCTAAGTTGCAGCTCTATTGCACGGCAGACTTCAACAGAACAGTATATTTTTATTATAATGCAGTTTTAAGATTTAATTTAGTAGGGCTGCAACTGTTATTTTCATTATCGACTAATCAGCCAATTATTTAGCTCAATCTATAAAATGTCAATTAACTGTGAAAATTGCTCGTGACAATTTCCCAGAGCCCCAAGTGACGTCTCCAAAGTCCTTATTTTGTCCAAAACCTAAAGACTCTTCAGTTAAATCATAAATGACAAAGAAAAGCTGCAAATTCTCAAATTTATGAAGCTTGAACTGTAAACTGTTTGACGTTTCTGCTTGAAAAATGACTGCGATCAATCCATTATTAAGATAGTTAATAAAATTTCTTCCTATCGACTATTCACCAAGTGATTGTTGCAGCTCTGTTGCACAGACAGAACAGTTAACTTTTATTATAATGCATTTTTAAGCGGCCTACTGTAGCCTTCATCTTTTTTCCATATCTTTAATTGTGCAGGGTGTTGGAGCTATAAGCCTTTCTTATTAGGCTCTCAAGCCAAGATGCTGCTGTTGCTGCCAAACAACAGCTTGACTACAACAATATGAGGTATTAATATACAAAAGGTGCATAAACTGCTCTTTCTCCCACATAGAGATGACCTTAACACAAACAAGTCATTACTAACATTTGATTCAGTTAAAACAAAGTGAATTCAGGCTGCACGTATTCACTGAGAAAAAAAAATCTCTCCATTATACAGAATTAAAGACGTGACGTCAGCCCTGCCTTGAGGTGCGTTCACCCCCTGCTAAGCTAACACATCCCCCCAACTGCGCACACAAGACACAGGCTGGGTGAGCGTGGACTCAAAGCTCACAAGGTCACGCAGTGTCCGAAAACTAGCTAAGAAAACTGAAATAATATCCTGTGAACGGCCTCTCGAGCAAAACTTTACCGCTGTGACAGGTTTTCTCGACTTACTTCACAAGCTAGCAGCGGTGGGCTAACGTTAACACCGGACTAGCTTAACCGCTCACAAACATTATGTCAGTTATATCAATATGCTCACACGGTGGGTTTCGGCCAAGCTGTGCGCCTCACTCACGTCCTTTACCGCGACAAAACCATCACACTAACTCCTCTTTTTTTAACACAATGCGACACTAATGTGAGTATGACTGTGCATCTTCTTGTAGCTGTTGTCCTCCAGGTAATTCACCTGCCATATCTGATAACAGCAGCTACAGTCAGAGGGGCTTCAGAGGAAGAATTTGACTTTCAAGCTGGCGGATTCACGGAGCACATTTACGCTTTAAATCCCTCCTGTCGCCGGCGTTAACCCACCCAGCTACGCAAACTGCTCACCGGCCGCCGGCAACTTCAACAGTCCATTGACTGTGGGCGACTACTTCAATATTACTCCAACTGAAACACATCCACACATTTAATCTCGGCGTGACACAAAAGCGTGACTTAACTTTTCACTTTCCCGAATGTCCCCACTCCGAGCGTGTCGCCGAGGATGTAGTGTCCGATCTTTACCCTGCCTTCGTGTTTCTGTTGTTGCCGCTCTGCCATCTTCTCCGTTACCGACGGCTGGGTTCGCTCGGTGCGGCGGGTGTGTTGCCTGCCTGCCTATGGAGCGCGCGGAGGGGCGGGGCACTTGTCTCCCTGAGAGCGAGGACGGGGAGAAGCAGCGAAGACTCGACCCCGATGAACGGGCACTGTCAGGTTTACTGTAAATACTGGAGCAGAGGAAAAAAATGTAACTGCCAAAAAATGCTCCCCTGGAGGCCATATGGCGTCTGACGTAAAGCACCGAGTGTGTGTATAACCGGGATTATCTCTCCTAGAAACCAACGACTTCTGCCATCCACCCTGTGGGTGTGCGTCTCCACCTGACCCGGTGTGTGTGTCGAGTTTTGCACCCTGGTTAATTAGCTGATAAATACTCTCTACATGTCTAAATCATCCACAAATTACAATATATAGAATATTAATTAAAATGGAATAGCCACGAGCAACATATCAAATGTAGTTATATTTTCAGAAATAAATAATGCTCTGTTATATATTATAAAGGCAATAATTATAATACACATCATTTTCATTTTCAGATATAGGCCTATTAAAAAGTGGAAAGCTATTGTGTATTTTGAGTGTTATGCAGGCTTTATTACTATTTTAGCTTTTAATAAAATTGTTTTCAAAAAAGGCTGCAAAAAAGTTCAATCATATGCTGGCTTCCTAAAATGACTCTCGGTTATCAACACTTTCCCAACTCATGATCTAATGCTGTGTTCCAGGTACACCTTAGGCCAATGTAAAGACGCAATTACACACGAATTCCCGCAGGGTGTCGCGATAGGCGCGATGGACGCTATGGGCATGACGCGAATTATGATAAGCAGCAAATGAAGCAATCCACGTCATAGCTTATTCGCCAGAGTTGAAAAATCTGAGCTTAAGTCACCAATTCGCATCACATTCATTCATTGATTCAGCGATTTCGTGCTTGTATGACACGGGTCAATACAAAATATTTTAGTGTTCAAACTTGCATGAGGAACAGGACACGAGAATTCACATTAACACAATATAAGATTTTCTTTCTTACTTGCTTTTTCCTTTAACCACTGCACAACTGTGCTAACCAGGCCCGTTGTCAGCTGGTTCCAACCCAGGTTAGGGTAGCATATTTGTGTGGTGTTTGCATGTTCTCCCTGTGTCAGCATGGGTTTCCTCCAGGTGCTCTGGCTTCCTCCCACAGTCCAAAGACATGCAGGTTAATTGGTGACTCTAAATTGTCTGTAGATAGCCCTTTACACTTAGCCCCTTTTACACTGTCAGATTTTCCGCGAATGTTGGGCCGTTTTGCCGGCAAGCTGCGAGCGTTTACACACACAGAGCCAGATTGCCGAGTTGATCAGAGGTGCCCAATTTTCCGCCTGGTAGGGTAGACATATTGGAGGAACCCTTTTAGTTTAAACAGACCGAGGCGCCTTCTGCAATGGGAGGAGCTGTTCATGACGCAGCACGTGCGACCCACTGGCGGTGGATAAACAGGAAACAGCTGATAGCAGGAATTAGCAGCTAGTAGCAAGAGGGAAACACAAACCTGACAGACACTGTAAAGATGAGCAACTGGGGAGACAAGGAATTGTGCGCCCTCATTGTCCTCGCAAACGAAGAGGCCATTAACCGTCAGATGACGGGGACGGTGAAGAACGGGCCGACTTACGAGAGAATCACCGAAGGACTGACCAGCCGCGGCTTCCCTCCCACGTCACGGTTTACGTCACACGCTGAGCTACACGTTTTGTTACTTGCTCACGCCCCCCATTGCCCCGAAAAAGGCGCATTCTGTATAAACAAAAGTAGGTAGGCGGCATTTTGCTGCACTCCCCCATTTTGTTTTTAGACTGCCAATGCTGAAAAAAGACTGATTGGGCTTTCCTGCAAATTTGCACAATTCCAAGTCAGCCCTGTGATAGTCTGGTGACCTGTCCAGGGTGAACCCTGCCTCTCACCCAATGTCAGCTGGGATAGGCTCCAGTCCACCCACAACCCCCAACAGAATAAGCAGTTACAGAAAATGAATTAATGCTCTAAAATGGGCAGTTCAGCTGTTGAGTTTCCAAAAATGTCTCCTGGGGGAAAGGTTTGTTGCAGACCCCCCCTTGAGGGTTAGGTCCCCCCAGTGTTAAATAGGTAGTTACGTCCCTGGTGAGACTGTTCTGAAAGACAGCACCCTCCTTCTGAAAAAATGGGGAACGTGTTTGTTTTGGTTTTGCACCTATAGTCCACAGCTGAGGCCATCAGAGCATTGAGAAGGATCCATTATCCATATGGGCTGTCAAGCTGCTCCATTAGGTCATAGATAGTTTCACTGTTCTCTCACAAATAAGTGCATCCCACATTGTGTACACCACCCCTGCAGTTATATCATAGTGTCATATTTCTCTTATTTAGTTGGCCCCGTCTCTGCTGCATCAGCGTCAAATTGGTGATAATTTTTAATTTAATTTGTGTACCAGACTGGACTGGTGAAAAATATGCCTGAAGAGTGAAACTGATGGATCGTACCACTAGATGGCAGTGTAAGTTTAATTTATCAGTATCAAGGCTCACTCTTGGCAGTGCTTCTGCTGCTGTCTTGTGCATATAATACTTGAGCTCTCTCTGGGATTGAAAAGCACTCGTGGAGCTTGTGCATGAACGTTTTCTTATCAAAGTTAAAAAAAAAGAGGTTTTGAATCATTTGGTTTTAAATACACATAAATACCAGTTAATCAAATTGAAATTTCCACTGATAAATATGTTTAAAATCTAGACAAAGTAATTGAAAAAGTTAAAGAAGTCCCCATTACACGTCCTTAAAAAATGAATAATGCAATAAAAACGACGGATCATTAACTTCTAAATAGTCTTCATAATATCGAGAGAGTTTTGCTATCGTATTCGCAAAATACACAAAAAGGATAAACATCTTGTTTAGGATAATTTTTTTCTCTTTTTCATCATATTTTAATATAAATATTTCATAGAACTGATGAAATATCATCTACTGTTACCATTTTTGCTGTAATATAAGAAATATTTGCTTTAAATATCTTCTCAGGATGCAAAGAGGGCAAATATTCCCACTCAAGATTCAGATTTAGATTTTGTTGTCATTATCCAAACATAAAGAAACTGCAAATTTGTCATCCTCAAGTTGTGCATACTATTAAAAAAACTTAACACATATTTACGTACAGAATAAAGCACGAGTGTAAGAGATAAGAGATAGTCAACAATAACGTCATATAAGCACAAAAAAATAAGCCGTTTTTAATACTTTTATTATCAACATTTTTTTACAGTTAGGAACAAAAGAAAAAGAAAAAAGAAAAGACAAATATGAGGTAATGGGATGTTTACAGAGACGCGAATAGGTAATATTATTTCTGAAAAATATATCTTAAAGTGCAACTAACGAGTGTGCAAGAAGCAGCAGCAGCAGCAAAGTCCAGTAATGTGTAGTATGACAGATATGAAGTGAATATTGCACGCGCACAATAATGGCATCTCCTCATTTAGTCATACAGGTAGATGTCTGAGTTCATTGATGCCAAGGCTGTTTTCAGTCTTTGTGTCCCGTCTCCAATAACAACATATTCTGAAATGCTCCAAACCACCATCACTCCAGTGCGCCTGTCGTACCTCGCGTAACCACCGGGGGCGCTGCATCCCCGCGCGGCTCTCTGCCCTCCTGGTCACCAGTCTGAGAAAGTTTTCCATGCAGGGATGGAGGTGATTACCCACCGCTAGCAGAAGAGGGAAGAGGGCTGAGCCTTGAAGCTGCCGGGGGAACTTGAAGAGAGCAGGGGGAGGAGGAGGAGAAGAAGGATTGATATAACAAGAGCGGCTGTCGATGCGCAGCGCAATTCTCACTCACTCCAAGTCTTTGAACCAAGAGCGATAAAGGGGAGCGGGCTTTCCATTCATTTCAAGCGCAGGCAACTTTGCTTTCTTGAGTCCGTGGCGCGGGTCCGTTCACCATTTAATACTTATATTTTAACCTTTTTTTAACGAGACATCAGCAGATTTGAAACTTCACGAGACCTCCGAGCCGGGGAGTTTGTTCCCTGCTGAACTGCATGACATTTCTTTTAAGGACTTGAGAGCCTGACAGACTTTCTTCACCTACCTACCGCGTGGTGTGGGATTTGGAGCTGAAACGGGGACTTCTCAAATGCAAAAGTATATGTATGAGAAAGCAATGGCCCAAGAGACAAGGAACGGAGGAACCTCTACGTTAAATAACAACAATGGTGTTGACAACAGTAAGAAGAAGCTGCTAATAGCGCTCGACATCTTCTGTCTTCTACTTGGTAAGTTTATTAAAAGTTAGACTGTCTTTATCATGATTTCAGTTGTTTAGTTTTTGGATCAAATCAGCTGTTTTACACCACAGAGTCTTTAAACTCTGGATTCACACACACATAAACAACAAACAGATTAAACAGTGCCCGCGCTTTCTAATGGTTGGCAGTAAAAGCCTTATCGTTTTAAAAGTATTGCCTGTTATCTGTCACCACAAGGCAACTTAATCTGTAACATCCCCTTATCATCCCGCTGCAACACACCACCCCATGCGCGGCACAAAACACTACAATACTCAACTTATTTGGCTTTTATATTGTTAAACATAAACAGCTCATAGTAAACAATCTCACAGTGAAACAACACATATAGTCAATGCAAGAGGAACTTTGACATTCTGCTTATTGACTGACACGTGTGTGTTTCTCTCAGCTGAGACTTCAGGATGAAAATGTTGTCATCACATCATATTATAGACTGATCATTTCAAAGTCCACAGAGCATCACTGGGACACAGATGCTCCTGCCGCCTGCCAACATGCCCCGGGCACAAATGTTTTGAAGTGTTGTAACCTGCCCTTTTACTGCCCTTTAAATAGCCCGTGACACCCCACCTGTGCCCTCTGTTCATCTGACCCTAAACCCTCCAGAGGTGCCATTCCAGCTCGAGCTGTCCACACACAGGGATGCAAAGTGGCCGAAGTAAAAAAAATCACAGTGTAATTAAAGTATTGATCCACAGTTGATTAAAGTGTCACACAGGCTGTGTTGGGTCTGATGTGCTCCACTTGTTTGTGAGTCTGTGTGTTCGTCCTAACTTGTTATTCCGCTTGCGTCCAGAGTCAGTGTGCAGTGTTTATGTGTGTGTTGCTTTGATAGCCGGTTTGTTTTTGGCTGTTGTCACTGTAGCCCAGTCCTTTTAGTTCCTCGCTCCAGTGGCCCCCCTTTCTCTTCTCTTTGTTTTCAATCCCTCCGCCTCTCCTTTCTCTCTTTTAGAAAAGGATTATGGGAGTTGCGCTCAACTTCTACACATTCTCTCCCAGAACCCTGCAAATCCCTGGCCAGCTGCCCCCGATCACTCCACTTCAAATTACTTTCTCTCTGCCTCTCCTTGGCTTTCTATCTGGCCCTTCTTTCTCCCTCTCTGTCCAGGGGACTGCGTGGAATAATTGCTTAAGCATGTGTTGTGGCAGGGGAATGCCTCTCCAATCTAACAGAGAGAGATGGAGAGGCAGGACGCGTGGCTGACCAGGCATTAGAGGAGCAGGTGGGAGCCACACCAGCAGCTTTATATGGAGAAACTGAGGCATCAACAGTAGTAACACAATATGCAGCGTCGCCACACAGGAACAGGGTTTTATCACCCAGGATGTTACAAATGGTGCAGATTAACTCCACGTTCTCTGAAGTGCTGGGTAGAAGAAGCAGATCTGCCCGACAGACGCAAAGTTTTCCAGTGGGTGTATGTTGGTTTGCGTATTAAAGAACCTCAGACAGAGATAGGCCGTTTGATCTGAACACATAAAAATGTAGATGAGCTTTGAGCACATGTGGAGTGAATTTCCCGCACGACCAACTTCCTCCGCTGGTAAAAGTTCCTCTTTGCCGTGTAAGGGCAGCACACACACACACACCCACACACATGCATGTAAACACAACAGACACACAATGCATGTAAGCACACAGACACAAATGGGCTCACAGATTCTCCTTTGTCATGCTAAACACAATCTGGCTGCTGAGTGGTGATTGGTTGGCCCGCTTTAGTGGTTTGGTGGGGAGGTTACACATGGGGGTTTCAGTGGGTGGAGGGACAGGGGGGTTAAAGGAGAGGAGAGAGGGGGGTTATCAGGGGGTCCTGAATGAGGAATGCGGGTGTGTAGAGAGCTCAGAAGAATGCTCTCAGAAAAGGCCACAGCTCACCACACAGCTAGTTAATGCATAAATATCTCGTTACCTTTAATTAGTTTCTATCTGCCAGCTGCTGTTACACACACACACAAACACACAAACACATGGTGCGGTGACACCTTTCTATAGGTTGTCAGTCTGCCAGTCACACACCCTCAGGCGCAGCTAATGATTCTGTTAGCATAAAGGACATCTGAGGCCATCTATAATCACACACATGTGTACTAACGAAAAAATGGTTCCCTCCTTTTGTTGCCTCTGCTGATCAAGGCTAATGATGCATAAACACAGCAGGATCTGAATGGTGATTAAAAAATGTATACACGCATGCACACACACACACACACAAACACTCTCACCCAGCGCTCAGCTGCTGAGACCAGAGTTTCAGAGTACAATTTTGGCTGCTGAGCCCAAGAATCATCTGCTGATTTCACTTTGGCTCGGGTTCCACTCTTACTGTGCAGCAGAGATGATTTAGCGACGCCATAAGGAGCACACACTCTATAAATACACAAACTCAACCGCAGGCTGGGACGTTTCATTCTTCTCTTTCTCTCTGTCTCACATGCGACCCTGAACATGGCTTCACATGCTCTGATAGCCGACTGTCATCGGGTTTAAAGTTAATGTTTATTGTGAAAATACTTTGCTTTCAGGAAAGCATTCCTCTCAAAGTAGCCTCACCTAAACCCAGATTAAGTTTTACACAATGCAAAGGAGATTATGCATTGTGTGTTTGCATTCGTGGCTGTCTGGGTTTAGAAGCCACTCAGAGTTTGAGCTGCAGGGGCCTTTTTGCAGAGTATAAACATGGACTGTCCAGGACTGGCTCCATTGACTTTCACTCCTGTAGGTTGATTTAAAAGCTCTGCTAGATATGTGGGTGTTGCTATAGTGACAAGCCTTCATGTGAGGCCCAAGCTCACCATTTTTATTTCAGCTTCTCACATTTCTTGTTATCGGCTCTGATCTGTGATACAGTCAGGTGTTTGGTGACGTGATTTTCCAAGAGCGACAGACGTGGAGATTGTTATTAGCAGCATAGAGGAGCGTAACCTTTTGGCCCCGGGGAATCGGCTTCAAAACTGGCCCTGGAGCTTTAACCCTATATGGCTCTGGCCCAACTCCTGCCTCTCTATTAGCCGCTATAGCATTACAGCAGTCAGTCACACAGCCCCTCATTAAAGCTGGAGAGGTTTAACCTCTACCTCTCCAGGCCTCAGCCACTTCAATCCTGAGCCGCTCCACAAATATTTTCCAGAATTTCTCAAATTCTTCATCTGGCTGTAGTGCCTTGGCCAGAGACTCTTGATGTGACATCTGGTGCAATTTTGGGAGTGAGTGAATCAGGGGGCACGCTGTGTGTGTGTGTGTGTGTGTGTGTGTATGTGCATAGTGGTGCTCAGGAAAGGGTGGGAAACGGAAAGGTAGTGTCGGTCGGAGGTAGGTGTGGTTGTGAAATGAAATCCTGTCCATTTTTTTTTTTACCTCACAACCCATTTCCACCCCCCACCCCCCCTTCCTTCCCTCTCCCCTCCCTCTCCACTTGAGCATGTCTTCCCTCTTCTCAACTAGCTTCGCACTAATGGAGAGAAATGTCACGAAAGAGGTTTGGTAGCAAAATTAAATACGATACCATGTGGTTAGTGTATGTGTAGAAACTTATCCTCCCGACAACAACAAGATAAGTAGCTTTTGCCAAGTGTCTCGCAGAAAACTGTAATCAAACAGCAAGTGGGAGGCCCTCACACACAAACCCAAACACGGGCTCCTGTCCAAAGCTGCCGACCTTAATCTGAGGGCAGATATTCTCAGGAGTTCTGCATGAGTCTGTCTGTTCAGGGCCAGGAGCTGACTGAGCAGAGAAGTGGACTACCTACCCAGATATAGGAGCCTAAAGAGCAAAGGAGAGGTGGAATTAAGTAGGAGAAGCACATGCCAGTATATTCATTTCTCTTCAAAGTCTGCCATGTCGAGCATCACTAGTTTGGGTGTTGTAACAGTCAACAAAATAGATTTAAACTAGCAGCCGTTACGTTGCTTTTCACAATCTCCCAGACGGCACGTGTATCTATTGAGGACATGTATTGAATAGCATTTTCTGTGTCGCACTGTTGATGCTCCTTGTCAGTTTATTCTTCTGTTTGTCATATAAGGTCAAAGGTCGGGTAGAAAAGAGAACAAGTGCCTGCAGCGCTCTCCGTATGACATTTCCCGCACTAACACAAAGCTGAGGGCTCAGTGGACACACACAGAGGAACATGTAACATCAGGTTCAATTCTGACAATAGTCCATGTGTGGTATGATATTTACGCTGTGATTACATCCCTGCATGTATGCTTGTGTGTTATCTGTGGCTCTAGGTGGTGGCTTGTGGTGTGTGTTTGTTATGGCTGCAGGACGAGGGGAGGTTGGGGCTCTTAAGAAGGTGAGGAGGGTCCTCTGGCAGACGACCATCACTTGATTATGTAATAAGATAAAGATCAGCTGATGTTCATGACAACGGTCGTGGCCACAGGGCTGCTCGTCCTTGAAGAATGTATGGAATTTTAAGTGTGCCTTTTTGTGTTGATGTATATTTTTGATGGATAGTAGCGGTGGTATTGTGGCCAGACTTGTGTGTGCAACATTTCTGCCTGTCATTGTCACATGTGGCCGGTTTTCTGCTGGTGCGTGAGCTAAATGACAAAACCTTGGGGTTTATGTCTGTGCAGGGCTGCGATTAGAGGTGTGCGGGTGTGCATGTGTGTCCCGTGGGGGTTTACGAGGGAGAGGGAGCACCCAGAGCTGTCATTACAAGGACTCTATGGCCCGAGGGGTAAAGGAGTCTATGTGTGCGTGCACTTATGTCTGCAATGCGTGTGGGTAGCATGTGTGAGGCATCTGTGGCTCAATTTGTGTCTATGTGTGTGTTTATGTGTGTCCCATGTGGTTCCCGTGGGCAAGCCGAAGGCATCAGGTTGACTGATGTGACTGTGTCTCTTTATACTGGTATACAAACCAGACGCATTCATCTCGTAACTATTTCCCCCAACGTCTCCGTCCTGGCAAACAATTAAATTGCACAATAAAAGACTAAACTCTGACAATAGA